GGTCCAGAAGTCAAGGGTATACACAGAAGTAGCTTCTTCAGTTTACTTAATAATATACTTAGAAAACGTTTTCTTCCCATCCAGGAACTCTGCTCTGTTGAAACTGAATTTAGCCCTGAATTAAGGGAAAAGCACTTGCACTGGAGTTCGCAGCCCTGGCCCCACTGAATTAGAACTGAGGCTGGCCATTTTAGCCTCCTGGGGCTGCTGGGAAAATGATGGATTTTGTGGCCACTGCCACAGTTGTTTCTCAACTGGACTAATGCAGTGGCCTTCAAATCCGTCCCCTTCCTCTGCCTTTCCCCCCAAACTGCCCTTCCTCTCCAAAGCATAAATCAGAACACATCATCCTCTTGCTGGCAACGGCCTCCCACTCATTTAGAACAATGCCAGCTCCTTCTCGTGACCTGCATTGCCCTTTCTAGCCATGGCCTACCTCCCGACTGCAGCGTCCTCTCCTGTCCTGTTCCTGAGCTCCAGGCACTCTGGCCTCCCTGCCGAGCTTCACACACATCACGTTCTTCCCTGTCCTTGGGCATGTGGTGTCCCTGCCGCCGGGACGTCTCCTCCCTCAGGTTTTTGCCTTGCTGCCTCCTGCTCATCTTTCAGGTCTCTGCTCCTGTGTCGCCTCTCTGGAGAGGCGGCTTTCTCCCTCTCCTGCTCTCACTCACTCTCCACATCACCCCCATTCATCTTCTCCAGAGCAGTCACTGGTGCCTGAGATAATTCCATTTACTAATTAAAGGAACCTGTTTGAATGCTGGAATTTAAACTTCTTGGGATGCTTTATTCCCTGCTGAACCTCAAATGATAAAAACAGTACCAGACTCACAGTTGTTCTACACATTTTTGTGGCTTGGCTGATTTTTGACTCAGAGAGAGGAAGAAAGGAGGCTATGGCAACTCTAAGAAAGCAGGACCGCTAACAGCTCAGAAATCAACAGAGCGAAGGTTTGGACCACCTCACCTCGCAAAGGGGCTGAGCAAAGTCAAAGACACCACCCACCACCCACGGCCTTACAACCCAAGGCAGAGGGAGACACTTCCTGTTATGACGTCCTGTACGTGTACACACTATTTTCTACTTCCTTTCCCTCCCCCGTTCGCATTATGGTAGGTTGTGTTGCTTGAAT